GGGTTTTACCCGAGTGCGTATATATTTTAAAAATGTTTTAATTAAAATACTATTCGTTACAATTATAAATTGGCGCCGTGGATGTCTCTCTTGTGAAACGTCCCGCCCCAAACTGTGTGTGTCTTGAAAATATAAAAATAAAAATGTGAACGGAATAATATGTCCAGGGTAGCCTAGTGGTCATGGCATCTGCCCGGTAAGCGGAAGGTCGTGGGTTCGAATCCCATCCCTTGACACTTTTTTTATTTTATCGATTCTGACCAAAATCTATCGGTGAACTTCACACAGTGAACTTCACACAGACAGAATAAGGCAATTATATAAGTAGATAATCCAAATTGTGCCTTATCACACACTATTTTTTCATTTGGCCTTATTACCTTGTGTTTATAATCTATGACGTAATGCCGGCGGCGCGCGCCCGTTGGCTGCCGGCGAGCACGTGACCTCCCTGTGCGCGCGCATCCGTGACAGAGGCGGCCGATGAGAAATGAGGAAAGACGGTCGTGACTATATATAATGATAATAATAATAATTATTTTCTACAGGTAAACTCCGTATAATTGGTATAATTGTATAACAAATCAAAAGTTTTACGAAGGAGCATCTTTTATTATACTTATGCAAGCTTTCGAACCTTTCGGTTCTTCAACAGGCGTGGCTAGTATGACTATACTAACAGGGTATAAGCGCGCTTGAGCCATTATATACAACATATAAATTTACATGCGAAGTGATATTTCAAATGTAATTAAAATAGAAATAGGAATTATGAGTATGAAATATAAAAATAAAAGTATGTAAATGAACTTAAAGATTTTTAAAATTTAGATAAAATTATGGCAAATACTTTTATATACGTTAAAAGTTAAGTAAAATAATGATATTCACTGTATGCAAGTAGTGTGACACTTTAAAATTTTGTAAAATTTAAAACCAGTATAATTTAAAACATCTCAACACAGAAAAACCAAGCCGGGGTCCACTCCAACCCGACCACACACCCGAGTATATCACGGGATAACTATTGAGATATTATATGATATATTTCCGGTAGATCTATTTTCCTATTGATGCTGTTTATTTGTGATGATATGATGGATTCCAGTACCAATCTGTGCTGCTTATTGTTTATGTGTTGATATAGGACTTTAGGATGATCTAAGTTAAAGTTATGGCCAGTGTTTGAAATATGTTGATATATAAGTGATTTCGGGTCTCTATTGTTTATGTTTCGTTTGTGTTCGGTGATTCTGATATACGCGGTTCTGCCAGTCTCCCCCACATAGGAGGCTGGGCAATCCTGGCAAGAAACCGCGTATACTGCTCCGGTGGAGTGGATGGGATTGTTGGGTGTGTCTGCTTTGGTGATAGGATTCCTGAGGAGGGCAGCAAGATTGGGGGGGCTGTTAAAATAAACTTGGATACCATATGGGCGAAGGATTCTGGAAATGGTAACAGAGAACGAGGAATATGGAAGATAGCAAACTGCTCTATAAGTCGTGGAGGTCCTCGGAGCAGTGGGATCAAACGTGTGTTTATCTATGAATTTTCTTGGGTATCCTGCAGTGGTTAGAAGGGTGGTAATTCTGTTTTTTTTTCTATGGCTTTGAATATAGGTAATGAGCAATGCGTATGTATTCTTTTGGTTAAAGTCCTGACTGTATTTATTTTATAGGCTACCGGGCTATTGGAGGAGAAATAGGTGTATAGGGGTGGGATATTCTTTTTGTGATAAACTGCTGTGTGCAATCTGTGTGGAGTGCGGATAATGAGGATGTCCAGAAAAGGCAATACTAGGTTTGTTTCTGTTTCATATGTGAATTTGATGTCTGCGTGAAAGGAATGTAGAGTGTTAAGAATAGGTTGGAGCTCATTCGGTTTGATTATACAGAAGATGTCGTCCACATACCTCCTCCAATAATGGATGTCGGAAGAATGCGTCTGATTGATCCACTGGTCCAAGGACCCCATCACGACTTCAGCAACTATGGATGAAAGAGGGCTGCCCATTGGGGTGCCTCTGATCTGCTTATAATGCTGGTGGTTAAATGTAAAGGTACTAATGGAAATACATAAGGACGTTAGCTGGGTTATCAGGGTTATTGTTTGATCTTGAATACCTGCTGACTTGAGAAAGGACTGTAATTTGTTTAAAATGAGGGCGTGTGGAAGGGAGAGGTATAGCGCTGTGACATCAAATGAAACCATAGTGTGATGTGCGGGTGGCTGCATTTGTGTGATCTCCTGAATGAAACTGGGTGGGTGTGTGATGTTGTATTGGTTAGGATTGTTCTTCATGATAGGGGACAATAGTTGGGCCAGATATTTAGCTAAAGTGTGAGCCGGGAAGAGGTGGTATGCGATGATGGGTCGGAGCGGTACCCCAGGCTTGTGTATTTTAGGAGCACCATATATGTACGCATCCCGTGTGAGGGAACCGGTAAACTGAGTCAATTGTTCCTTGGTGATCAGCTTCGCCTTCATCAAGTTCCTAAGTGATGACTTGTAGCACTTGACCATGGCGTCTTTCGCAGATGTTGAGATATTCGTAAATGTGGATGTGTCAGCGAGTATGTTCATCATTTTTCCTTCGTAATCAGCTCTATCCATCAACACCGTCTGGTTTCCCTTGTCTGCTTTGGTGATTACCAGCGAACTAGTCTTTTTTAGCTTCTGGATGAGGAAGCGATGATCCCGGGCATATGACACTGGGTGATAGGGCCTGCGCAAGACCTGGGTAACTGCGTGTCTAATCCTGAGGATTTCCATATGGTTGAGGTTTTTGAGTGCACCTTCCACTCCTGCTATTAACCTGGGTATGTCGGGCTTGTCGGGAGGAACGTAATGTAACCCCAATGCTAACACCCTTTCCTCCTTTTCCGTTAAGGGCATCGAGGACAAGTTAACTATTCCATTAGATGAATTGTTTGGAAAGGCTGCGGACTGCGGGAACTGGTATTTCTTTACCCAATATGACATCTTTGTCTTAGAAACAGAAGGTAATAAGACCAAATCTAATGATAAGGTACAATTTGGAATATAGATTATAAACAGAAGGTAATAAGACCAAATCTACTGATAAGGTACAATTTGGAATATAGAATATAAACACAAGGTAATAAGACCAAATCTAATGATAAGGCAAAATTTGGAATATAGATTAGAAACAGAAGGTAATAAGACCAAATCTAATGATAAGGTACAATTTGGATTATATCCCTATATATAGTCACGACCGTCTTTCCTCATCGGCATCTGTCACGGATGCGCGCGCACAGGGAGGTCACGTGCTCGCCGGCTCCCTCGAGCCGGATTTGAACCAGCGACCTAAGGATCACCGTTGTAACATCTACAGTCGGGTAAAACACGGGCGTTGCCCGTGTCATTCGGCTAGTATAATATATGTATGAGTACACTTTGTGTATAAATAGGATTAGTTGAATTTATAAGGTAAACTTATTCATACAGTTTGTATCCTTCGATAGCTCAGTTGGCAGAGCGGAGGACTGTAGATGTTACAACGGTGATCCTTAGGTCGCTGGTTCAAATCCGGCTCGAGGAAGTTTTTTTTTTTTTAATTTTTATTGGCTGCCGGCGAGCACGTGACCTCCCTGTGCGCGCGCATCCGTGACAGAGGCCGATGAGGAAAGACGGTCGTGACTATATATAGGGATACTAGCGGATGTACCCTGGTTCGCCCGGGTTTTACCCGAGTAATGGTTTGTCTAACGAACATTTGTTAAAACACTTCTCTATTAACTTATTTTAAAAAATAATAGATATCTACTTATATAATTGTCTTATTCTGTCTGTGTGAAGTTCACTGTCTGAAGTTCACGGATAGATTTTGGTCATCAACGCGCGCATCATCATTATGATCATTATCATTATCTAATGATAATTATTATTATTATTATCTACTTATATAATTGCCTTATTCTGTCTGTGTGAAGTTCACTGTCTGAAGTTCACGGATAGATTTTGGTCATCAACGCGCTCATCATCATTATGACCATTATCTAATGATAATTATTATTATTATTATCTACTTATATATTTGCCTTATTCTGTCTGTCTGAAGCTCACGGATGGGATTTTACATAACCATCGGTGGTTCAGTGGTAGAATGCTCGCCTGCCACGCGGGCGGCCCGGGTTCGATTCCCGGCCGATGCATTTTTTTTTTTTTTTTACAATTTTTAAAACTCATTTATATATTATACAAGAATGACATCCACGGCGCCAATTTATAATTGTAACGAATAGTATTTGAATAAAAGCATTTAATCGGGTAAAACCCGGGCGTTGCCCGGGTCATTCGTATATAATAATTGTATAAACGAATGCAAGACAAAATCACCGCGAATGTTTCTTTTTTTTTTAAGGCAATTTCTTTTTAAGGCAATTATCGTTATTTATCGTTAATTTTTGTTTCGATTTTATTGAAAAAAAAACGATATGGTGCCTTTAAAAAATGATCTTTATTACTATGCAGTTTTCTATTTAGTCAATATACCTAAGTTCATGTTGCAAATGTAATTATCTCTATCGATTTAGTAGGTGAAATGCAAAAAAAAAATCGACATGATATAATCTTTATGAAAATTCACATTTTTATTTTTATATTTTCAAGACACACACAGTTTGGGGCGGGACGTTTCATAAGAGAGACATCCACGGCGCCAATTTATAATTGTAACGAATAGTATTTTAATTAAAACGTTTTAAAAACACACAGTTTGGAACGGGACGTTTCACAAGAGTGACATCCATGGCGCCAATTTATAATTGTAACGAAGAGTATTTGAATTAAAACGTTTTTAAAATACATACGCACTCGGGTAAAACCCGGGCGTTGCCCGGGCCATTCGTCTAGTCTACTTATATAATTGCCTTATTCTGTCTGTGTGAAGTTCACTGTCTGAAGTTCACAGATAGATTTTGGTCAGAGTCATCAATTCTGTCATCGTTTTAAAAAATTAAAATATTAAAAAAAGATGCCGAAACCCGGGATCGAACCAGGGACCTTTAGATCTTCAGTCTAACGCTCTCCCAACTGAGCTATTTCGGCTTATTTTAGTCATTTCTATAGAAGCTTCTATCTTTATAATTATGTATATTTTTAAAAAGTCAATTCACACCTCTTCGCTGGAGACCATGGGAATACTGACTAATCCCTTATGCTAACATAATCATCATTATCTACTTATATAATTGCCTTATTCTGTCTGTGTGAAGTTCACTGTGTGAAGTTCACGGATAGATTTTGGTCAGAATGGATAAAATAAAAAAAGTGTCAAGGGATGGGAATCGAACCCACGACCTTCCGCTTACTGGGCAGATGCCATGACCACTAGGCTACCCTGGACATATTTTTCCGTTCATAAAGTTAATATATGATGCCAATATATATAATAATTGCATAAAGTAATGCAAGACAAAATCACCGCGAATGTTTCTTTTTTTAAGGCAATTTTTGTTTCGATTTTATTGAAAAAAAAAACGACATGGTGCCTTTAAAAAATGATCTTTATTACTATGCAGTTTTCTATTTAGTCAATATACCTAAGTTCATGTTGCAAATGTAATTATCTCTATCGATTTAGTAGGTGAAATGCAAAAAAAAATCGACATGATGAAATCTTTATGAAAATTCACATTTTTATTTTTATATTTTCAAGACACACACAGTTTGGGGCGGGACGTTTCACAAGAGAGACATGCACGGCGCCAATTTATAATTGTAACGAATAGTATTTTAATTAAAACATTTTAAAAACACACAGTTTGGAACGGGACGTTTCACAAGAGTGACATCCATGGCGCCAATTTATAATTGTAACGAATAGTATTTGAATTAAAACGTTTTTAAAATATATACGCACTCGGGTAAAACCCGGGCGTTGCCCGGGCCATTCGTCTAGTATTTTGATAATTTGAAACACGTAAATTCGAATCTCTCGATAAAGTTACATTTTTCCCGGTCCCTTGTCTCATCTTGTCTCAAATAAATTGCCGTGTCATCCTGAATTTTGTCTTTCCTAATTTTCTACATTACAAAATCATCGTTTTATCTAGTGAACATGTTTTCCTGGTCCCTTAAAAAATACTCGATAACTAACTTTGACTTGTGCGCAATTAATAGGTAGAAAATCTTACTTTTGGTAAATAATCTTTAAGATAATAAACTTAGTGATAATAAAACTTATAGATAAAAACTTGTTGGTAATCAAACTTATAGATTATAAAACTTGTTATCTCCGTCGCAATGGGGGCGCTGCTTGCGAGTTAAATCTACAAATCTGCAAATAACTCTAAGGATATTCAAGAAATTATGTTTTAAAACCTTCCCGGGGATATAACTAATAATATCCCAAAATTTCACGGCGATTGGATATATGGTTTTTGAATCTATAGAGTACAAACATACAGTCAGACAGACATTCAATTATATATATATATAGATTAAACAATAAAAATAGTTTTTAAAATACGATTATATACTTTTAAAATACATTAAAAAGGAGAAAATAAATATTTTAGCTTCTCCACAATTGAACAATTATACGAGTCAAAATAAAAGCAACGGGGAATGAACATCGTATATTGAGGGAAGAGGTAAAATATTCAGTGAAAAAATAAAAACACTTGTTGATCAGTTGCTACATATTAAATCAAATTAAGGTCGAAATTCTTTATGATCGTCTCCGGCCGCATGTGGCTCGCGAGCCGCAGTTTGCCGACCCCTGTTCTAGTGTAACGATTTGTCTCTGATCAGGAATTCTGTCATGTCAGAGGCCAAGTCATGAGGAGTCACAGATAAGAGCCCACCTCCAGGATAGATTAGGTTTAGCTATGGTTTTAGGTTATGTCTCTCGTGGAAGTCTCTATTGTACGTCACAATGAGGGGCAGCCTCTCGTGTGTCGACTCATCAGATAAGAGACAAAGTTTGAAAAATCAAAAAAAACTTTACCTCGCCATTCAACTCACACTAGATGAAAGAAAAAACTAAAAAATGGATACGTTCTTTTTTTTCGTGTCGATTATTTTCGATTAAATAAAAAGAAATAAACGAAATCGTTTGATAAACTTGAAATAATTTTAATTTTCATCAAATATTTTATTACACAAAAAAAAATATGTATTACGAAGCAGTATATAAACAAAAATCTGGAGGGATGCAGTAGTAGAAATTTCCTCAGTTCAAACATAATGTTAAATATATACAAGCTGCAGAACCTCAGAAATGATCCCTTGAAGTGAAGTCATTGACTCGCTGTATCTCTCTGTGCGATAGATTTACAAAACTATGGGTTGTTGCCAGTCACCTAGGCCTAGAGCGTCGTGTTCGTTTACCATATGGACTTGGAATTCCTGCATGTTAGCTGTCTGGAAGAAACACAAATTGCACTTGCGCGTGAAGTGTGACTTCTCGTGTTTTATCACGGCTCTCTCTAAGGAAGAGAAGAAGTTACAATAATTGCACACGAACTCCTTGATACGTGTATGGGACTTGAAGTGCTTTTTGAGATCCGAATTGGTGCCGGCACTGTATTCACACTGGGGACACTGCACCCTACTTGAGCTATGCGTTTTCTCGTGTCGACCAAGGTCAGTTGGAATATAGCTGTAGTAAGCACAGCCTTGGTATTGACAGCAGTATCGTATTGCTTCTGGGTGATTAATACTGATGTGGTTCCTGAGAGTGGTGCGCTCTAGACTCCTATACTTGCAATAAAAACATTGGTTGGGCTTCTCTTTATTGTGAGATCTTTTGTGACGGATCATGTTGTGTTTCATGGTGGTAGTGTACTTGTTACATACGTCACATCGCAGTACCATGTGGGTTTTGAGGTGCTTAAGAAAGCGCTCCTGGTTTGAACTTTCCCACTCGCCGCAATGACACGAATATAACGTGCCGTTCTCCTTTTCATCATGTTTTTTCAGGTGCTCTATAATAGTTTCTTCTTTTTTACTGCGTTTACCACACTTGGGGCATTGATACATGTGTCTGGCTTGATGAAATTCCATGTGATGATCATATTTTTCTTCAAGAACCATATTGAGGCATAGAGGACACTGTTTGTGGACGCCAGAGTTATGAGTGTTTATTTTGTGACTGCCAAGACCAGCCGCGGAGGAAGATGTAAAGGTGCAAAATTCACATTTAAATGATCCTTGCCTTTTTAAATTATGAATAGTTTTATGCTTGTTCAGCCCGGTCGAATTCTTGAAGCCACATTTGCACACATCACATATGTATGGCCTTACTCCAGAGTGAATGCGCTGATGAGCATGTAAGTTGGATATGTTTTTGCTTTTGTAATCACAAATATTGCATTCATAAGGCTTTTCGTCGGTATGGATGCGCATGTGCTTCAAGAGATCGGGTTTCAGTCGAGCTCTGTATTCGCAGTGGTCGCACGAGAATGGCTTCTCACCAGTATGGATCCTCACGTGACCGTCAAGGATGGATTTGGAGACTGCCCAGTATCCGCACTCGGGGCACTCATGCTTCCTCTCGATATCTAAGGACTCCATAGTAGCTTTCTGGGTGGAGCCTTCTAGGCCGGGGATCATTGTGTTGTGTTCCATCTCTCCCAATGGATCATTAAAAATGGGGAAATACTGCTCCCCAAACCCTTCCTGGTGAGCCTCCATTCCTTCCGAAGGGCCATACATCTTCTTATGGAATTAGTAAGCTGAATGGAACACCAAGATAAATTTTTAAAGATATTGTAACGTAGAAATCAAGCCTTGAAATATCCTAAGATGTAAAAGTAGTATTTATTGATGACGTCACAGCGACGAGTCGACAATTATTAACAGGTCAGCCCCAAAACTATTTACAGCTAGAGAATCTTAAGCAAGCAAGCAAAGAAATATTTTAAAAATGATTTCACAAATACAGATTAATATATATTTTTATAATCTGTTGAATATTTTCATTGAATAATATTAAATTAAATAATAAAATATTTCTTCGTCACAATATATTTTGTAGAGAAATCTCTCTCAATTTAAACATGAATCTTGTAGGTCAATAGAGATAATTACTGGATAATCCAAAGCAAGTCTACTGTAAAACCATCAACAACGGTTACTCTCCTAAGGAACTCCTTTTTAGGTGCAGACATTTTAAAACCATTTTAACCGAATTTTTGCCAAACATGTTTAACCAATTTTAGTCTTTAGGATTATATTATTAACGCTGGTGAAGTCTCCCAAGAGAGATCGCCGAAAAACATGACTACACACACATTGGAGAATCGATCATGATAGGCTATAAGTTATGTTGGATTATTTCAACTCAAACTTAGTAGTTTTTTTCCTTTAAAACGTTTATGTTAGCTACATAAATAACATCAATGAGCAAATATTTTATTCTAAAATACTGTATATACGCACTCGGGTAAAACCCGGGCGTTGCCCGGGCCATTCGTCTAGTTTTAAATAAAAGCTTTTTTAAAAATGTTTTTCATAATTAATTATTCACCCTATTTTTAGCCGTATATATGCCAGTCCAAAAAAAAAAAGCCTTATCACTGAGACGATGTTGGCCTTAAGTAGCTGCAAGCCTGCTCACAGCAGATTGGTCAATTCCTCGTGGGAGGTCGGAAGTGACGTAAGCAAAATCCGTTACTAACAGAACCCTAAATTTATTGAATTATATTACAAAGTTAGAGACACCCATTGGATTATTGTTAGGGGATAATTGGTACATATAAAATTTGAATTATAATTAAACAATTGATTAAATAGTTAAAAGTAACAACATACTAATTGAAAAAGGGGAACTATTTAAAAAGGTGTCGTTAAATGTATGGTGGTATATTGTTACACACACACCTATATATTTATATAATAAATATAAATATATGCGTGATGATATTGGAATAAGATGACTAAATTATAACAGATAAAATTAATATATTTGTTGGCTTTTCTCATTTATTTGCTTGTAATTCCAAGGATGTTTTAGATAGGAATCTGTAAATTTGGATTTCTAATTCCTTCCATGTCTTGAACATTTATTGAAAAATTCCTTTCGCAACATCCAGCATTGTCGC